CGGAGGAGAGAGCAGGGGTGTATAAGATTCCTTATGAAAACTTACAACTGGACGTTAAAAAAGATTATATCGGCGTCACCACCAGAAGCTTGGGAGTAAGGCTCAAGGAACATAGATATGCCATAAGAAAAGCGTCTAATTCAACGGTTTTGTCACAAATGGCGCAAGCACAAGGATCTGAGGTGAAATGGGACGAGGCAACAATCATCAAACCTCTGTCTTCCCCAACTCTAGCAATGACGGCAGAAAAAATAGAAATATACAGAAGTAAGATAAGAGAAGGCTGTTTAAATGCGAGGGATTCCGAGAGCCTGCCTTCGGCATGGAAATATTTGGTTAAGAAATATACTACAAGCTCCGACCAGAATTAATACATTGAAGATTTATGTTATTTTTGTTTTAGTGTTTTATTTTAATTTTTAAATATTCTTCCGTTATTTTCTCTTGTAAAAAATTTTTGATTTAAATTTTTATGTTCTATTCATGGAACATTTACGTTCCGTTGTATTTTTCAACCTGAAGATGGCCTATTAATTAGGCTGAAAACGTTTGTTGTTTAAAAATTATATTTCTCGGCAAAAAAGGTGTTTTGTTTATCTTTGACATTGACCACAGACAGTAACATTGATAAAGTGTGACAAATATTAGGAAAGTATCTGAATGCGACTTGTAGAATGTTGTCAGAGGAGTTGTGAGTGTCAAAGGACTCTGTTCACATAATTTTATATAATCATTTGAACAACTGTAAGGTCTGTTCCTGCTTTGTTCCACACTCACTCACTGAGGATCAAAAACAAGCATGCATTCATCATGGTCAGGACATTATCAAAACGGGTCATCGCAATCCAAATTTTCTCAAAAATATTGTCACAGGTGACAAGATGTGGTGTTACCAATATGACGTGTTGATGAAAAATGTCTAAATTCCATGTGGAAGTTCAGATGAGCCCACATCGAAAAAACTTTGTTTCCAAAAATCGTGGGTCAAAACCATGCTCATCTGTTTTTATGATTCCAAAGGTATCATGCACAACAAGTTTATCCCAAATGGCAAGAATGTTACCAGAAAATATTATTTGGGAATGGATTCTGTATTATTTGGGTATTTTGGAATGTCTCTGGAACTGAATTTTACGCATACGGCCAAAGTATAGGGCTCAAGGAAGCTGAACGCTGCTGCATGTATGACAATGCACCCTCACACAAGAGCACCGCTGTTCCTCAATTTTTGGCTCAAAAAGGTGTTGTAACCCTGGATCATCCACCATATTCTTCTAATCTGGCTCCCTGTGACTATTTTCTGTTCCCAAAACTTAAAATTCTAATGAAAGTGACTTGTTACAAGGACATTCCCGGAGTTTGAGGCTGCTGTGACCACAGTATTGAACCAAGTGCTGAAACAGGAGCTGAAAAAGTCCTTTGAAATGCTAATTACTAATTTTGAACATTGTATTGTTGCAAAGTGGTCTTATTTAAAATAAATAAACAGATTTTTAAAATTATTTCTTGTAGTTTTTTCTTTCTAGACAACCTGTACAAACATGGTTATTTTTCGACATAATCACTATGAAGATTGAGGCATTTGTCTATCTGTGGACGAGCTTTGAAATCTCTTCATCATAGAATGTTGCCACCAGTAACTTGAGATGGCCTTAATGATATTGTTTTGAAGATCATCATTAGTTTCAAACCTCTGCCCTGTTAGCCATGTTTTCAGTTCAGGAAAGAGATGGAAGTTTTCACATATTAGAAAGTTCCAAGCTGGGTGGAAGTATTCACCACCTTTAAACACTATAGCCCCGATTTAACGCCTAGAGACTTCCACCCCTTTCCTTGAAAAAGTGTCAAGGAGGGCAGAGGTTCGAGACTAATGACAATCGTCAAAACAACGTTAAGGCCCATCTCAAGTCACTGGTGGCAACATTCTATGAGGAGGGGATTTTAAAACTTGTCCACAGATAGATAAATGCCTCAATCTTCACGGTGATTATGTCAAAAAGTAACCATGTTTGTACCTAACTTTTGGTAATAAATTGATTGTGTTATTTACACCTGTCTTTGTTTACAGACCATTGGAGGTTGAAAAAGAAACAGCCTACGTATATTATAAAGATATTGACATATTTCTTATAGAATTTTACACCTTTTGTGATGATTATATTAGGGTCAATGGTTTCCATTGAGAGTTCTGCGAGTTTCCATTTTATGAAGGAATACATCCCAATTATATCTAAACTAGCCATTCTGTGGTGTTTGTTTATTTGTATACTTTTTAGTTCATTTATAAAGTTGTCTGCATTTTTAATGGAAAATTTAGAGTTTTTATGTATTCTCAATTTTTTCACAATTTCAACCCAGAAAGAGTATATATTAAATTATTATTATTTTTTGTTTTTCTACAGGATTTTAGATTATGTCGCCCATCAATGAAAGTAATTTCGACGTAAATGTAAGTAAATCTATTGTTGTAATTTATAGTTATTTAAAATATGCATTTGTTTGTTAATTGAAAGAATAATTTAGTTGAAATTTGAGTATGTTGTATTGTTTCAAGACTAAAGCCTGGACTCCACATTACCGGAATCTGCGATGTAATCATAAAACTGAAAGTCAAACTGACAAAACTGAAAGTTTTGTAACGTTCAGTTGGACAGAAACAAGACTGAAAGCAGAGTTCTATGGAAGTACTGTATTCTGCCTTGAAACTTCAAGATAATATGAAAATTGAAACAAAGATATTTAAAAAACAAGCTATATTTTTAATCTTTAATGATAACTAGACAATTGAATTTCATCATATATTACTAATTATAAAAATAATTTAATTTGAAAGATATATACTACACATATTATTTATATTCATTTAAACATTTCTAGGTCTATTTTTTGTTTCTTGTGGATTCACTATTACTAAATAAGTTAATATGAAACTTTATTGTACACAAATTCGGTTTCACAAATTATTTGGCCTAGAAGTATTAACTGATGGTAGTTAGTAATTATAATTACCGTATTTTGACAAGTATAAGTTGCTGTCAAGTATAAGATGCATCCCTATTTTGAGACAAAAAGTTTTTAAAGAAACTTTTTTAATGGGATTGTCTAAAGATGCATTTTATTCAGTTTTTTTTTATTCAAGAATATGACAGATGGATGAATCGATACCTTTATTAAACTGAAATAATTGTCATTTCTTAATGTAAACTCAGAGGTCATGTGATGACAGTCGACAGAACGTGGCGGCGATGACTCATGTGTCACTACTCTGATAATCTAGGTACTCTAGCCATTCGGTTGAGGGACCATCTGCTTAATGGACCCTTGCACAGGTTGGTTCCTAGAGTGGACCACTACTGTAGATAATTTCACTGTAAAAATGGTTACCTCTCGAGTATAAGACACACCATGATTTTGAGCCCCAAAAAGTAGTAAAAAATGTGCGACTTATACTTGTCAAAATACGGTAACTAGCCGCAAGTACCCGCTTCACTGGGTGTTTATTTGTTTGTACATTTATATGTAATATAGTTCTTTTTTTTTTTATATAAAAGACTGTTTCTATTCCTCTATGTAATCTTTCTCTGATTCGATGTGTTTCCCTATAATTTTCGATTTGCTCTTCTGTCTGATTATTTCTGTTTCGTTGATAATTTTCTCTTAGCAATGTTAGACGTACTTCTTTTTCTTCCGTGGTTTCATTTCTCTGCACCATCTTTTGCCTTTGCGATATGATTTGAGACCGTGAAAATTCTTTCTTATGCTTTGGCATTGTTTTTTATATTTTTACTTTTCACACTTCACTACTCAGTTTTTACTTTCTACTTTTTTCTGTTATTTGTACACTTTTATGTATGAAAAATCAACTAAAGCCTGTACGTCACACTTTGCCAAAAACCATCCCCACTACACACACATAACGGTCCTCGACTATTCCAAAACATTTTTGAACCTTCTGGCCCAGTTCATTCTAGAACATTCTGAATATTGTAGAACATTTTAACTAAAATATTTTTTTCATGTAATAATTCAATAAAAACTGTTAATATAAAATTATTTGTACATAAAAAGTTATTCAGAATACAATTGGTAAAGAAAAATGGGAGAAAAAAAATTCAGATAGTTACTTTTTAATCATAAAATATTTAAAATTTCCAGAAACTTCCAAAAGCTTCTGAAATAATATAGAATATTATGGAACGTTCTTGAAGGATCTAAAAATTATTAAAGTAATCCAAAACTTTCCAGAATATTTGTTTGTTTGTTTTTATTGTTTAAGTTTTTTTTATTTGATTATTAAAAAAATGTACTATAATGTATTATTAATTTAAAAAGAAATGAGAGGGGGTAGGTTGTAGGGGTGAAGAATGAGAGTGAGGACAGAGAATGTGTGAGAATTCTACAGCATTCCAGAAAATATTAGAACTTTCTTCAAAAGTTTGGAACTTTCTAGAAAAAAATTGGAACATTCTCATTGAAGCATCACACATTTTTGAAGTAAATCACTTTCAACCCCCATATCTCCCACACCCTTATAGCTATTGAGACGCAACCTCCATAGTGCACGATGGGAAACTTGGGGCTACTACCATGCACAAACACCATTCATGTGCAATGTGTAGTTTTGGCTGCAGAGTGACGTATAGGCACAAACACTCCATTTATATATATATATATAGATTGAAAAATTATCAGTTTTTTTGACTGATTTGATTTTGTCAAAAATTCAATAACTACAAAATTTGACAAATTTCATTTTTACTAAAACAGAAGTGATTAAAGGTAGAAAAGGAAAGCAAAAATAGAACACTGAAAATTTATCTTTGTGTAAATAAGAATATGGAGATCAAATAAATATCCAATTTATACAGAGAAGAAAGAATTACAGTATTTACTCTAATATAAGATGCATCTTAATTTATACATGCTCACCCATGAATTTTTTTTCTGAAAAATAGACAGCTAGAGACAAATTTATTGCATGGTAAAATAAGTTAATCTATATATATAAAAATGAATGTTTGTCTGTCTGTCCTTCATGCGTTACTACACCATTTATCCGATTGCCATGAAACTTTGGGAAGTTGTTTAATACACTCCCGCAAAGGTTTCTGGCATAGTACATTTATCCTATGATAGACGGTGCATGTGTATACAAGCATTTCATCGTGAGCATTTCAGCACAGTTAGGAGTTGAAACTTGAAGTTTGGTACACGGTTAGGGTATGTCACGAGAACGCAAACTAACAAGGGATTTTTTGAAATCTCTCCCCCGCGGGGAAAGGGACAGGATTAAGGCTTCAACAATGGAAGTGTTAAGAGAAAGCAACGTGCAAGATTTACAGGCGCAGATGCAGTTCTTTGCATTAAATCGAACATAATTTTAGACCCATCTAATAATTTTCTAATTTGTCTGGAAACAGGGAAACCTAATTCTTGCGTTCTGTGAAAACAAGTAAGATTGGCTGTAATGTAATAATCTTAATGTTCGCTATTGTTACTTTTTGCCCAAGCAACGCCGGGTTTATCTGCTAATGTACAATAAATACCGCTTTCTTACATGGTATCGAAATCAGAATCCTCTTTGCATTCTTTGTTAGGCTCTTGTGAATAAACACCAGATTCCAGGCCGACTTCTTTTCACACGCAATCGTCCTCGGTGTCGTTCGAAGCATTGGAAACTAAACATGCTCGAAAGAGCACCAAGCAACATTTTTTGCCATTTTTATCCAATTAGTTAAGATGATGACATCATAACTGACTAAAAAAATTGAACTAAGTTGAATTTGTAAATATTTATATGAATATTGGTCTAATAAAATCATTAAAATGACACAATGAAATTAGTGACAGAGAAATCAAACGAAAAAATTAAATACATATTATCTACGCATATATAATATTTTAATATTGTTTAATGATTTAGTAATTATTATCATTTAAAAATTCTTGAAAATAATTACTATCATTTTCAAAATTTTGCAAATACAAAAAAATTAGAAAAAAATAAAATATATTTATTTAAGGCGGTCGATGGAAAAAATTTCTCGAAAGGGGCCGATACACAAAAAAGATCGGGAATCACGGGTTTAGGTCAAACATTTTTGTTTCATTAAAATTTGCTGCTAGAGCATATTTTAAGGTGTGGAGTTTTATAATGAAAGTTTAAATATAAAATTCTTTTAAAATCAAAAACAGATTATAATTAGTAAAATGATTAGCAGTCTTTCCTTTTGTAATTCATTCACTTGGGAAGATCAGAGGCTATGTTCTGGTTGTGGTCTGTCTCCGAGATAAGTGAAGTAGGTATGACAGACGACAGCCCTGTTTTGAAGACAGATGATACTAATAAGAAAATACAATTTTGTCTTTAGGCTTGACACGACACTTCTAGAAAAGGTTACTGTACATACTTGGGTAAGTTGCATATTCCACGTAGAATGTGCTTGGAATTTTAATTCACGATGCTTGCTACTCAAAAATACACAGAATTAAAATATACAAATTATTTGGAATCTTTAAGTATTCTATAATATTTTGTGTTATTGACTTCATAATAAATTTTATTTGAATACTTTGAATAATAATATTGTTCCTTGAAAATTTTAACAAAATAAAATAAATAATGATTGGAATTGGCTTAAATATATATATATATATAGACTATATATATATTAAGATATTGTCATTTTTTCAACTTTTGTTACAATGCATTCTTTGCAATCTGAACTCTTATTGTATGAGGTGGTTTGGATTAGTCAAAAGTTTGAATTAATCTGCGCCTCTAGGAACAAATGCAAGAGAATGTTAATTAATTCTACATCTGTAATATTATTGGTTATAAAATTAAGAATCTGAATGTTTTTGGCAGTTACCTAATGCCATTGTTGGGAATTGGTTCGGAACAAGATGAATCAAATTATACAAAATTTGCAGGAAACAAGTAGATTAAATTGTACAGCTAGGTGTTTCACTATTACAATACATTAAGGGATGTTGGAATTAAATTAATTAAACAATAACAATTATATAAAAGTTCTACAGATAACAGAAAAAATATTAACCCAGTATATTGTGTAAAATTAGTTAATATATGGTGGGCTGGTTGATGAACTGGCCCACCATATATTGCTTAGTTTGAATTGTTTTATTAATGTTTTCCAGATGAAAATTTAAGGTCGGACATACACACACAAATTAAAATGCTAGAAGGAAACCGGATTTATAACTTGTTACGAATTTTGATTTCCTAACTTATTAGCATTTTAACTTGTTTATTCTATCATGGAGTTGATGGAAGATGAAACTACAAGTAGAGGTCAAACACACACTTAATCAAATCCAAATCTTTCTAATTGAAAGTATAACCTTCCTCTATGACATATTTTTCCAGCTTTATATATGCAAGCTCTTTGCTGATCGAGATTTGGTTTTGACGTAAATTAGTTTTAT